AAATTAAGATCATTTTAATGTCCACTCCCCAAACAGTGAGCCTTGTATTTCTTTTTCTCTGGAATATCATGCTTTCTACATCCAGTAAATGTTCAGCAACACTGATGTGCATGAATAACTTTGCCTTTTTCCTGCTATTAAGGGAAATGTATGTAGCCTTTCACTGGAAAAGATGATGTCAACTGTCAATTTCTTATAGACTTCTCTTTTGCAGGATGAGGGAATTCCTGTTTATTCCCAGTTTGACGAGGTTCATTGAGACTGCATGCTGAATGCCACCAAATGCCTTTTGCACCCATTGAGATATGCTTTTCCTTACTTGTCAGCACACTGAATTACATTTACTGAATGACTCCAATCTCGGAGTCTATGGTGTCAGGCAGATAGCTTCAGAACACATTTAGGGTAACTTGGAACATGGACGTTTATTTTTGGCTACAAATTAACATTTAGAAAATTCCCCTGAAAGCTGAATTCTAGTGTGTTGCCTGGGGTGTTGGGTGGAGCCTTGAAAAAGTCCTACCCTAGTAGTGGGACTAGACTAGTCCCAGGAAAGGTGGCCGTGGACCCACAGGGAAAACAGTGACAAAATAAAACAAAAAGCCAAGCCTCAAGGAGCCAGGCTGATTTGCAGTCAACATTAACTGACCATCACGTGTTGATCTTACTCCCCGTATTTTCTCGCAGTTTCTTGTTGTTGCGACAGAATGGCTGACCGAAGCGACTTGAGGGACAAAAGGTTTATTTGGGCGGGCAGTTGGAGGTTACAGTCCACCATGGCAGGGGAGGAACAGCAAGAAGCTGGGGCAGCTGGTCACCCACCCTCCGGCGTTGGCTCAGCCTCACTTACAACCACCATTTCTAAACTTGGCTAACACTGCAGTGACTGCCCAGCCTTGCCCCTCTTTCTGTTGTGAGAAATAAAGAGCACAGATGTCGGTGGCTCTGCTGAGGGGGTCCCCTTAATAACACGCTCCCCTTCTGTGGGGACGGCGCCTCACTCAAACTGTCGTCTCTTCCTCGCTGGCCCGCTTCACTCTTCAATGTAGTGGCTCAGCCAGACTCCCTAAAAGTCGTCCCCAGAGCCTCTGGGGAACACCATCCATGATGAGTGTATGGTAGCATCCCTGGAAGGGTGGTGAAGGGTTGTGGTTGTTTTACAAAGCTGTTCTACAAAAGCGCAATCATTACACAGTGAACCAAAATTGTGTACCCACATTAATACGTCAACCCCCCCTCCCCCACAGGGTTACCTGGAGCTACAGGAAATCCAGGGGAAAAGGGAGAGAAGGGAGACGCTGGTGAGCTGGGTGCTCCTGGAAATGAGGGCCCGCCGGGGCAGAAAGGTGAAAAGGGAGACAAGGGAGATGTGTCCAACGACGTGCTTCTGACAGGTAGGCTGGCCTGGCTCCTCCCGACACCAGGGCACAGAGACCTGCCTTGTCCAACCCACGGGCTGCCCTGGTGGCTTTGGTCTTCTCTGGCCCTCTGCTCTGCAGCAGAGTCTGGAATTCTCGTCCTTTCCTTGTTTGCTTGAGACAAGGTCTTCTGTATCCCAGGCTAGCCTGGAACTCGCTGTGTAGCAGGCTGACCTTGCCCTGTCCTCCTGCTTCCACCTCCCAAGTGTTGGGACTGTAGCTGTGAACCATCATGCTTAGCACGGCATTCTGTATTTTCAAAGCTGCGCACGTTTGTCCAGGTGGACAAGTCCGAGTCTGGTATTTAGCAGGAGTAATCGAACTCGTTACCCTGGTTGGTAGGGTGTGGTGACTCCTGCCTGAGATTCCAAGCATGGGGAGGCTGAGGCAGCAGAGTTGCTTCAAGTTTGACTACATGGTAGGACCAAGGTCACGACGTGAACAGAGGTAGAGTCTGGCTAGGCTCATGGAGTTTCACTGCCCTCAGAGAGCCTTTCAAATGACAGGGGAGCATCTCCTCACGGGCATTCTGATTGGCTCTGGGGTTGATGGTCATCAAGCTCCTTAGAAGATGGGGGTGTCGCTCAGTAATAAAGTGCATGCCTAACTCGTAAGAGGCCCTGGATTAAATTCCCTAGCACAAGAAGGAGAATGAGAAGGATGGGGTGTGTACGGGAAAGGAGGAAGGTTGGGAAGAAATAGAGGAGGTGGGAGGAGAGGAGGAGAAGGGAGAGGAGAGGAGAAGGAAGAGGACAGGAAGAAGGAGTTCCTTCACGATTCTAAGCAGTCAGAACTGGGATCCCCTGGAACTGCAGTAATGGAGGCCGGGCTCTGCTGAGAGCCGCTGGAGCCAGGATCCTGCCCCAGTCACTTGTGACCTTAAGTTAACCACCACTCCCTAGCAGGACTCTCCTGAGAGGACCCCATTGCCACCTCACAGAGGGACTTGGAAGAATGAAGGGAAGGTTGACAAAACTCTCGGCACAGATCCTGCATAGACTGGATCATCAGGACCTACTATGGGCTCATCTCTAGGAAGGGGTACACACAGGGGGGGGGGCTCCAGAGCTGCCCACTTATCTTTCCCTAATGGGAAACTGTCTCCGTGAAAACCTTTTTCTGTTTCTCCCTTTCCTTCTCTCTAGGTGCCAAAGGTGACCAAGGCCCCCCTGGACCCCCTGGACCCCCTGGACCCCCAGGGCCTCCAGGCCCTCCTGGAAGCAGAAGATCCAAAGGCCCTCGGCAGCCAAATACGTTCAACAGCCAGTGTTCAGGTCGCCAAGCCCTGCCCCCAGGAACCTACTCCTGGTGCTAATAATCCCCCTTCCAGACTTTGTGAGCAAATTCTGAAAGCGGGAGATTTTGTTTAAATGAGATTCCTCCCTGCAATATGCTCCCAGGAAGTCTGAACACCTACCCTGGGCATGAGGACCGTGGACAGGCCAGTCTGAACCTACCACCCCTCCCTCAACACTCTCTCTGCACTTATCTCCATGCCAGTTTTCCTTCTTGGCCATACAAAGCTCTCTCCGCTCCCTGGAGCGTGTTTTATTTGGTTTGTTTTTTAATTACTGCTACAACTAAGGAACACAGTGTCGCCAGGTCACCTGAGGGCAGCACCTTGAGGGCTAAGCTGTTAACTGTAGCAACAAGTTCCTGAGAGGGTGAAAACCTGAAGACAGCTGAGCAGTCAAACTGGTTAGCTGTCCGCAGAGATAATTAAAGCGTCTGCATCACCAGTCTTAGTGTGTGTGTCGGGGGCAAGTTGAACCCAGAGCCCCATGTCTACCATGTCCAAGCTATATCTGCTGCCCTCTGCCACTCAGTGGCAGATAATATTGCCAGTGTTATGTACCTCGTTCTTCTGATTCCCATGACTATCCTAGGGTGTTGGCATCCTTGTGTCTGGCTTACAGATGGAAAACAGACAACCAAGGAGCTACCTAGCTCAGCTCAGTTCAAAAGTTCCTTAGAAACAAAGGATCATAACAACGGAAAATATTTCAACCGTGGATTTAGAACTTGAGAGGTTACCCAGAATGCCTTTCCTGTCTTAAACCACGAGGGACAACGTGGGCTGTCATTTCAGCAGCAGACATGGAGGAGGGCCCTGACCTGGGATTCTCTCTGACTTTCTCCAAACAACTGCATTGTTTGAAATAGTGTTCTTTCAGGGTTGGGGATTTAGCTCAGTGGTAGAGCGCTTGCCTAGCAAGCACAAGGCCCTGGGTTTGGTCCTCAGCACTGAAAAAAAAAAAAAAAAAAGAGCCAGGCGGTGGTGGCGCACGCCTTTAATCCCAGCACTCGGGAGGCAGAGCCAGGTGGATCTCTGTAAGTTCGAGGCCAGCCTGGTCTACAGAGTGAGTTCCAGGACAGGTGCAAAGCTACACAAGAAACCCTGTCTTGAAAAACCGAAAAGAAAGAAAGAAAGAGAAAGAAATAGTATTCTTTCTAGATGATTTTAGAGAATGAACCCAGCTCTCAGAGTGAAACACTGCTGGACATCATCGGGCTGGGGATTGCTAAAAAGCAAGCAACCAGGAAACATGTGGAAATGTCATAATGGCTATGTTTGGGACTTTGCGGGGACGTGGAGGCTCCTATATAAATCTCTATAGCCCCATTGTGACAACAGTTTTCACTGCTGCCATTTTAGGTGAGACGTGTGCCGTACCGAATGACGATACCTTGGTGGGGAAAGCTGATGAGAAAGTAAATGAACGCCATTCTCCACAAACAGGTACAAACCCTGGGCACCCTGGGCTGGGGAGGCACCCTGGGCTGGGGTGGTGCCCTGGGCTGGGGTGGGGTGGCGCCCTGGGCTGGGGTGGTGCCCTGGGCTGGGGTGTGCTTCACCAGCCTTCACGGGCCCTAGATTCAATCCCCGGCACCACACACAAAAATTGTCTGGAAATTCAAAACTGGATGCCTTAATTGTCATAACTGTCAGGTGAGCAACTTTCTTTTCTTCTAACAGAAGCCATGATCACTTCCATTGGAAACCCAGCCCAAGTACTAAAAGTCAGGGAGACTTTTGGGACTTGGATAAGAGAGTCTGCCAACAAGAGTGATGACCGTATCTGGGTGACTGAACATTTCTCAGGTACTTCCCTCCAGAGATGGTCCGTCTGGTGCTGTGATCTTATCTGTTGCCTGCGTTCCTCCGGTCTTATCTGAAAATCCCCACTAGTGTTGGTGTACGGCTCTTTATTTTAGAAAGTACAACTGAATGGGAGGACCACTATTTCCTATTTTGGATGTGTTGGGTGCAAGCATTGTAGTTCAGTCCCAGGGACATGACCACTGCAATGTAAACTATCCAGTTGGTTTTGTTTGTTTGTTTGGTTGGTTGGTTGGTGTTTTTGAGACAGGGTTTCTCTGTGTAGCCCTAACTGTCCTGGACCTCAGTCTGTAGACCAGACTGGCCTCGAACTCACAGAGACCCACCTGGCTCTGCCTCCTGAGTGCTGGGATTAAAGGTGTGCACCACTACCGCCCAGCATTCCAGTTTTAACATAATAGGCAGAAGGAAATAAACAGTATGACATCTACAGGTTTTATCAAATAACAATAACATGGAAGTGATATGAGACAAATTATGCCACACAAGTACTAAAAATATGGCTCTAAGATCTGGTGTGTTCAGGGTGATACGGCCTTAGATATAAAAGACAAATTCTGTGCCCACCGTCCATTGTTCTCTGAGTTTCATACCATCCTATGAGAGTATTTAGGGCCAGGATTCTCACATATTTGTTGAACAGAGGCCAAGGGAGAAGGCAAAGAGCCATCTCACAGCCATTTTCCCATGTCTGAACAGTCCCATGTCTGAACCCTCCCATGTGTGAACCCTCCCATGTCTGAACCTCCCATGTGTGAACCTCCCCATGTCTGAACCCTCCCATGTCTGAACTTCCCCATGTCTGAACCTCCCATGTCTGAACCTCCCATGTCTGAACCCTCCCATGTCTGAACTCTCCCATGTCTGAACCCTCCCATGTCTGAACCTCCCATGTCTGAACCTTCTCCATGTCTGAACTCAGGACCAGTCATACTGTTCCCAAAAGATGTGATTGAAGT